GAGAGGAAAATGCCTTTTCTGCCAGACACCACCCTGATGAGTAATTCCAGGGAGTCAGCGGTAGGGTGAAGGGAGCCAAGATGAAATGCACGGGATTTGGGCCTTTCTCTGGTCCTGGCAGACTAGGTTCCTCCTCTTCTGCACTGGGGCCTGGACCAGGGTGCATCTGCTGCCCTCCCCGGGCACCACAGCATGGACAGCAGCGGGTAAGGCTGATCAGACTTTGCATATAGTGGTCCCTTCTATGGTCTACTTATATGTGGTTTCCATTATCTAAAATATTACATACAGTGAGATATTCTGTGAGAGAGCGGATGAGAGACCGGGAGAGGGAGATTTCCATAACTTTTTTGGAAAGATTTATTTATGTATGTAAGAACGGGGTACAGGTCAGAGGTGCTGGGGGTGAGAGGATTCACCTGAGACAGAGTGGGGAGCAGAACAGGCAGACTGAAATACACTGCTGAGGGGAGAAGCAGGCGAGACAGGAGAGGTCTGCTGTGGCATGTGGGTAACTCCCTAGCTGGCTGGGGATCGAACTGGTACTTCAGAGGCTGTGGACAGCTTCATAATGCTGTGCTTAACCCCTTGTGCCACCAGGGAGGCCCAGATTCACATAACTTTTTATTTTTTAATTTCCATTTTCAGTGCATTCAATGTATTCAAAAAAAACATTTTGAAAATGTACCATCTGTCTGTCCTTTTTAACAAAGTATAATAAAACACCCCCCCATAGAATAGCTGACGTTCAGCATTCACAATCAAATGAACAGAACATTAAATATTTACAAAATGGGAAAGTTTTCCTTTGCTCCTAAAAAAAAAAATGTGTCCAACAAAGATGATGAGGATTCTTGAGTCCAGGGGCTCTAAGGTCTTTGGGTTCCCAGCCTTTGACTTTGTGCAAGGAGCTACTCACAGTACTGGGGCTCCAGGTCCTGCCCCCCTCCCTCAGCAGCACAGAGCAATGTTGACCTTTGACCCAACTAGCAGCATGGAGTTTGGGGAGTGGATTAGAGATTACCACTTTCATTCACAGGCTCAGTCTTCTCAGCCTCTTCAGAAGTGATGGCTGTAAATGTCACCTGACTCATTCTCCGGAAAGGCCGTGACCTCTTAGTTCATTGCACATATTGCCTGTTCTTGTAATTGTTCTATTATGAGTTAGTGTTGCTAATCTATTACTGTGCCTGATTTCTAGATTAAACTTTATCACGGGGATATCTGTATAGAAAAAAGGCTTAGCAGATAGAGCTGGGACCACCTGTGGTTTCAGTCTCCCCCCTCCACGCACTTGGGGGGGCTCTATTGTACTAGTATTTGAGGGTTACCTATATCTGAATCTCATGTGCCTTTTTTCCCCCTCCTGTTTCTCCTTCTGCTTTGCCTTGTAGTGGTGGGACATACCATTCTTTGCTCCCTGCTGGGTCATGGTGGGGACGACTTGGGGGTAGTTTCTGTGGGGTAGGGTCCAGGTGACAGACCTCTGGGCCATGAGGAGCCTGAGGCAGAAGTGGCAGGAAACTATGGCAGGAAACACATCTGCTTTCCTTTTTAACACTGAGCTTCTGGAATAATGATGGGCACCCCATGGCACTCAGTGAATATTTGGTGAATGAATGACCGTCTGATACAAAGTGAAGCTTGGAGAGCTAAATTTCATGAAAAAGTTAGGAAGGTAGAGTTAAGCTCTACCTGATGTTGATTTATTCCAACACAGCCTACCTGTAATATTTTAACACATACATAGTAATCATTCATGTATGTGTGTGTGCAGATACAAGGTACACTTGTATCTAGTACACATATTGAGATATGTTTTTTTAAAAGATTTATTTTATTTTATTTTTTTAAAGATTTATTTATTTATTTATACAAGCACTGGGTACAGTCAGAAGCGCGGGAGGGTGAGAGAATTCACCAGAGCGGGGAGCACAGCAGGCAGAAGGACCGAAGTACACTGCTGAGGGGAGCAGCGGGCGGCAGGAGAGGTCTGCGCGCCATGTGGGACCCTCCTCCGGTGGCCGGGGAGCAGCTGGGGATCCAACCGGCGCTGCAGAGGCTGCGGGCAGCTTCGCAACCCAGCGCTCAACCGCTGCGCCACCGGGGAGGCCCTAAAAGATTTATTTTTATTTATGCATACAAGAGCTGGGATATAGGCCATAGCTATGGGGGGTGGGAGGGAGGGTGAGAGGATTCACCAGAAACAGAGTGGGGAGCAGAACAGGCAGATCCACTGAAATATACCGCCGAGGGGAGCAACAGACGAGACAGGAGAGAGCCTGGTTTTTTTTTTTTTTTTTTTGTGGAAGTGATGCGAATGACATAGTTCTGGTGTGATGATGCTCACCTAAACGAAAAGGTGACTCTGCATGTTTCAGGGCCTGTGATTTTATATGTCTGCACCGAGGAGGAGGCTCATGAGCCAAGGCAGTCAGGAGCGAGGCTTGTTTTGATTTCGCTGTGCTGGTCTCTGCCTCCTGGGTTATCTTGAAGGACAGACGGAGGGGGAGGGTGTTTTCTCCTGGGTTGGTCACAGCACCCACAAAGGCTGGCTCACCTTAGAAATCCTGTTTATAAGCATTCCTGGGTCTGTGCTGAAGAACTCCTGGTTGTTTTCTCAGATATAAGGAACGAGGTAGGACCAGCTGGTGCATTGTGCCTTTTCCCCTTCCCACCTCCCTCCACCCTTCCCTGCTTCCAAATTTCTTTCTGTACACGCTGTCTCCCATGGCATACCCAGGGAACCCAGAGTATGTTTTTTTTTTTTTAAAGATTTATTTATTTATGCATACAAGAACTGGGGTACAGGCCAGAGGTGTGGGAGGTCAGAGGACTCACTAGAGACAGAATGGGGAGCAGAACAGGCAGATCTACTGAAATACACTGCTGAAGGGACAGTGGGCGAGACAGGAGAGGTCTGCTGTGTGCCATGTGGGTGGCTCCCTGGCCGGGGATCGAACTCGTTCTGCAGAGGCTGCGGGCAGCTTCACAGAGCTGTGCTCAACCCCTTGCGCCACCAGGGAGGCCCTTTGTTTTTTGTGTTTTTTTTTTTTTTTTTTTATGGTGGTGTCTTGATACCAGTACAAAACAGCCCTTCTTCTCACTCCGCCTCTCCGGTCTGTATTTGTCCTCTATTCAATCCAAAGCTTTTCCCTGTTGACTGAGCGATCCTATCAGGAAAAGAAAAGCTGAAGCAAAACCAAACCAAGCCAAAAAACCCCCATGTACAAAGAGCAAACAGCAGAACAAAAGGAATTGTGTCATAGAGACTTGTAAAGAGTCAACTAATTCAGAAAACACCAGAGTTTGTTGAGGAACTGCTAAAACTGTAGCAATTTTGAATTCCACTGTTTTATCTGGCGCTGACTTTAGAAGTTGAGAACCATGCGTGTTCTTTTCTCACTTCCAATTTCTCAGTATCTTCCCACTTGTGCTCTGAAGCCCTTGGAATTACATTTCAGTGGGATTTGGGACATCCCTGGGATCTAATCTGGACATGGGGGTTGTGGGAACAGAGGCGGATGCAGATGTGGAGATTCAGGACAGGAGGGACATACGCTTCTATGATTCATGTCAGTTTCTGAGGCTCCTCCAGCGGGAAAGGGTATTACCTGCTTGTGGGTCATCTGTTACCTGGAAACTCCCATCCTTCCCAGGCTGAACTGAGAGTGTGAGTCAAGAATGGCTGGTTTATGGGGCATCTGATGAGGGAAGGAGGGAGCGAAAGAGAGAGAGAATGAGAAAGAAAATAGAAACCTGTAGGAGTTATAAGCATGGATTCCGGAGCCTGATAACCGGGATTCGAATCCTGCCTCTGCTGTTTCCTGACTGTGTTGGACAAGTAACTTGACCTCTTTCTGTCTCAGCTTTCCTCATCCGTAAAGTAGGGGTAATAATTTTTAGTACATGTGACTGTTGGGAATTAAGTAGTACAGATAAAGGGTGATAAGAGTGTCTGATCCCCAGTAAAAAGGAGCACTCACTATTGGTGCCCCTCCTTGTTGGAGTCTCTTGTATTCTTGTATCATCCAGGAAATTCCTCCTTCCAGGTAGTTAATTAAGAGCCTGTGATAACAGGGACTAGTCCTTCTATCACTTTTTGCAATTAGCAGAGCCATGCTTATGAGTCTTTTTTTTTTTAAAACATTTATTTATTTATGCATACAAGAACTGGGGTATAGGTGAGAATGGAGGGGATGAGAGGATTCACCAGAGACAGAGTGGGGAGCAGAACAGGCAGATTGACTGAAATACACTGCTGAGGGGAGCAGCGGGCGAGGCAGGAGAGGTCTGCTGCACCATGTGGGTAGCTCCCTGGCCAGGGGATAGAACTCATGCTCCAGTGCTTGAGGATAGCTTCATAGGTTGTGTCTTAACCCCTTGCACCACCAGGGATGCCCCTTATGAATCTTAAGGAGGGAAAAAATCTCTTCAAATAGGTGAGGAGAGAGCTGAAGAGGACGCTCCAGCAGCTGAATTGAGAATGTTAGGCCTCCTGGGGAGGAGTCGGCAGCCCACACAACCCCTGATCCAGGAGAGGATGGGGGTGCTTCCACACGACATCTGAAACAGAGGGGAAGAAAGCCTGGGACTACTGTTGAGATTTACCATTAAAGTGTTTTCTGTAGGCTGAGCTCTTTGCCTGCTCACTCTTTCCTAAGGAAACCCTAACCAAAGACACCAGAAACCTTGGTGAGGGATTTGTGAAGAGTGATTTGTGACATTTTCTGAAGTGAGCCTAGGTGGTCTGGCTTCAGGGAAGGTATTCAGATATTAAAATGGCGGGTGTGGGGGGTTTGGGGAGGTGTTGTATGAGACTAGTTCCTTCCCCCTTCATCAGCCTTTGGAATTTGCCAGCAGAGGTGGAGAAACATTAGCCGCCTGATCTAACATAGTTCAGGTTAAACGGACACAATTTCCCCCTCATCTTTGGTCCTTTGTGCCTGAGTTTGTTAGGAGATTCACAACTCCCCCTGCCCCCATTTGCTTTCATGCAGGACCACAATGACCTCAGCAGCCCCTACAACCACTACATTCCGGGGATGCCGTGAGCATCTGGCTCCCAAGTACCACAGACTCTGTGATATGTCCGAAATTTGGGGCATCGTCCTAGAGGCGGTGGCTGCACTGGGAGCTGTGACCTCGGTGGCCTTCCTGCTGGCTCTGCTCATCCTGATTTGCAAGGTGCAAGACTCCAACAAAAGGAAGTTGCTCCCCACCCAGTTTCTCTTCCTCCTGGGAGTGCTGGGGGTCTTCGGCCTCACCTTCGCCTTCATCATCCAGCTGGACAAGAGCACAGGGCCCACACGCTTCTTCCTCTTCGGCGTCCTGTTTGCCCTCTGCTTCTCCTGCCTGCTGGCTCACGCTTTCAACTTGACCAAGCTGGTGCGTGGGAGGAGGCCCCTGTCCTTGCTGGTGATACTGGCTCTGGCCGTGGGCTTCAGCCTGGTCCAGGACATCATTGCTGTTGAGTACATGGTCCTTACCATGAACAGGACCCACACTGAAATCTTCCAGGAACTTCCCAGTCCCCGGCGCAATGAAGACTTTGTCCTGCTGCTCACCTATGTCATCTTCTTGATGGCCCTGACCTTCCTCACCTCCTCTTTTGCCTTCTGTGGGTCCTTCACTGGCTGGAAGAAACACGCGGCCCACATCTACCTCACCACGCTCCTGTCCATCATCATCTGGGCGGCATGGATCACGCTGCTGTTGATCCCTGCCATCGAGGACAGGTGGGATGATACCATCCTCGCCTCTGCCTTGGTGGCCAACGGCTGGGTCTTCCTGTTGACTTACGTGATACCCGAGTTCCAACTGCTCACGAAACAGCGGAATCCCACAGATTACCCTGTCGATGACTCATTCTGCAAACCTCAACTCATGAAGCAGAGCTATGGAGTGGAGAACAGAGCCTACTCACAGGAGGAAGTCATGCATGGTACGGGGCCTGGCTGGGTGGAGAATGCCTTGCAGGATGTAACACTGGGAGCAGGCAGGATTATCTGGGCCAAAACCCCAGTAGCAGAGATAAGGTCCCCAAGGTTTGGATCTGCTTAAAATCATCCAGTGAGGGCCTCCCCAGTGGTGAGCAGTTGAGCGCTGGGTTGCGAAGCTGCCTGCAGCCTCTGCAGCGCCGGTTCGATCCCCGGCTGCTCCCCGGCCACCGGAGGAGGGTCCCACATGGCGCGCAGACCTCTCCTGCCGCTCACTGCTCCCCTCAGCAGTGTACTTCGGTCCTTCTGCCTGCTCTGCTCCCCGCTCTGGCTCTGGTGAATTCTCTCACCCTCCCGCGCTTCTGACTGTACCCAGTGCTTGTATAAATAAATAAGTAAATCTTTAAAAAAAAAAAAAATCATCCAGTGAGCTGGAGACAAGTGGAATGAGAAGCTGACCTCTGGAGTCTGGTAGTTTCTATGAATCAAAATAAGATGGGGCAAAGAGATAGAAAAGGAATGACTAGAAAAAGTCTTTGGGCCAAGTAGGTATGACTGTGATCTTAGTGATAACTGGGTATTCCTTCCAAAAAGGTGGGGTCTTTATAGATTCAAGAGCAGAGACCATAGAGCACAGCTCTGGGAGAAAACCCTGCTCTCAGAGACCAGCAGGAATCCCATAAAGCCGCTGAGGATTCCCATTTAGCCTGAAGAGCTGCATTTTTTTATTGCATGTCTCTGGCCCCATGGGAGAGATGGTATCTGCAAATCATACAGGAATCAAGTTTGCTCTTGCCTGGAGTTCTGAGGAGCCAGTGTTCTGTTGTTCTCCTAAAAAGAGGCTAAACTGATACCCAGGAACTGCCCTTGTCTTCAGGAATCCAGTCCCCGGTCTCTGGGCCTCATTAAGGCCGGGTTCTTAGGACCAGCTGACACTTTTCTCTGTGAGGTGCAGAGCTCCCAGGTCCTTCTCACTGGGCTGTGAGAAGGGGAGAGGTGCTGGGTGCTTGGGAGCCTGCAGGACAGGGGAAGCTTGGGGACACCTCTCCACCCGGCCCCTCCTGTGACTCTCTTGTCTCTCTCTTGGACCCACTGTGATCACCCACTAATGGGTCTTCCTTCCTTTTATCTCTCTTTCCATTCACTTTCTGGGCCACCACCATTGGTCTGTTCTTCTGAGCTGCTTCCCTGGATACCACTCCTTCCCCCTCACATTCCCCACTGGCTTCTCATTGTCGGCAGCTGTGGATTCCTTAGTGCAACTTTGCATGGCCAGAGCCCACTGGCCCTGGAGCTGTGCTCTCCATCCAAACAGTCCCTGCCTTTTCCTGCCTCTGCCTCCAGGGTGTCCTTTTTTCCTACTCTTGCCCCCCCCCTTTTTTAAAAAAAAGATTTATTTATTTATTTATACAAGTACTGGGTACAGTCAGAAACGCGGGAGGGTGCGAGAACTCACCAGAGCCAGAGCGGGGAGCAGCAGAACAGGCAGACTGACGAAGTACACTGCTGAGGGGAGCAGCGGGCACAGCAGGAGAGGTCTGCGCGCCATGTGGGACCCTCGCCAGTGGCCGGGGATCGAACCTGCACTGCAGAGGCTGTGGGCAGCTTTGCAGCCCAGCGCTCAACCGCTGCGCCACCGGGGAGGCCCTACTCTTGCCCTTTTTGAGCCAAGATTCCCCAGTCTCCCTCAGGACTCACTGCCTGAACAGCTTAGAACTTTGACATGCACTTAGCAGGCTCCGTCTCACCCCAGCTCCCACGTAGCCCCATCATTCTGCTTCATTCTCGTGTTCTTCACAGTCGCTCACATATAGGTGTGTAGGTATTTATTTAGTAAACGAGAAGATCCATTTGGTGGGAAAGGAATGGGTTTTTAATTATTGCACTTTTAATTACTTCATGGTGATTGTATGTGTTTATGCATCTGTTCCTGGGTTTAAACTCCTCTGATATCCCCCAGATACCTACAAAAACAGTTGGTCATAAATTCTGCCCCTTCCCAAAGAAAATAATATGTTCTCTCCTTGTTGGGTAGTTAAGGAAATGAGGAAATCCCCAGTGAGATTCAGTCCGGGTAGATGGCTGGCTTGTGCCCAAAAAGATTGGTTTAAAAAATGCTTCTGGGGCCTCCCTGGTGGCGCAGCAGTTGAGCGCTGGGTTGCGAAGCTGCCTGCAGTCTCTGCAGCGCCAGTTCGATTCCCGGCCGCCGGGCGAGGGTCCCACATGGCGCGCAGACCTCTCCTGCTGCCCGCTGCTCCCCTCAGCAGTGTACTTCGGTCCTTCTGCCTGCTCTGCTCCCCGCTCTGGCTCTGGTGAATTCTCTCACCCTCCCGCGCTTCTGACTGTACCCAGTGATAGTATAAATAAATAAATCTAAAAAAAAAAAAAAGTTTAAAAAAAAAAATCTTTCTGAAGTGGTCCCAGACTGAGGTGGGCTTCCAGGGATGTCTGAGAAGCTGCTTCCCGAGTGACTCGACTCGTGTTGCCTGTTACTCATTTGTTCAGTCACTATTGTTCTTAGTCAATGCCTGGTCCTGGGCTGGGACAGGGTCACTTCCTCCAGGAGGTGACGGATTAAATGGGTAATTGGGATAACACTTCGGCTTGGAGAAATGACTCAGCTGGGGTGGGAGCAGGTGGGAATTCAAAGGAGGGGACCTTAACCCTTTTATTGCCACTCCCCATCTGTTTCAGGACTTGAGGATCTGGGTGACACCCTGTATGCCCCGTACTCCACCCATTTTCAGCTGCAGGTAAGTGAGCTCTCTTTCCTTTGCCATCCCAGAGTTAGTACTGAACTCTTGTCTTTTGGGACAAGTGATGTAGTCATTCTTGTGACCCCAAAGGGCCATCTTGAAAGGAGGATGTGTCTGCCTTTAACCTGCCTCAAGGGGTTCTCACAGGATATAGGAGTGTGGGGCTCCAGGGTTGGGGGCACTTTCAGGGAGGGTGGAGGCCAATAGAATATTTGACTCCTGCCCCGGTTGGCATTGCAGCGAAATGGCCAGGAAGTGGGTTTTACCTAATGGTTGCTTCCTTTTCAGAATCGGGCCTCCCAGAAGAATTTCTCCATTCCACGGGCCCAGGCCAGCCCTTACAATAACTATGAGGGAAGAAAAGAGGGCAGTTAACTCTGTTCTGAAGCATGGGGCGAACACAAGAAGTCAGCAGAACCAGCGGGGAGCTCCAGGGATGTGGGTGAAGTCCAGAGTCTTCTCAGGAAATCCCATCTCCTGGGCGGCGGGGCCTCCATCCTGCTCTGGACTTGATGCTGGCTCATCGGGCGCCGCTTCTTAGCAGGGTAGTCTCTTCCTTTATCCCAATCTAAGGATCCTCCTTTTAAAAGGGGACTCAGGGGAGCCTCCTAGGCTTCCCTGTCCTCCTACCTGTGACCAAAGCCCAGGCGTCAGCCAGCAACTCTAACGCATGGCTGGGTTTTCACGGCTCCCGGGGCCACAGCAGAACTTCAGATCTGGGCCCAAACAGCCCAGGCCTGTCCCTCAGCCCATCCTGCCCAAGTCTACACTGGAAGCCAGTTTACTGGCACCCTCCCCTCTCTCTCCTTGGTGGGAGAGGCTGAAGGCCGCCCCCCCCCACCCGCGACACTGGCTCATCTCTGAGGTGTTGCTGGACACGGGGCCTCGCGGGGGCCCTGGCAGCTCCTCCAGGTCACCCCTCCCTGCACCTTCCCCACACTGGCTGCCTGCTCAGACCTCATCTCCCCTCCAGGCTTTACCAGGAGTTCTTCGGGACCTCGCAGGCACGGGAAGCCCATTTCTCTTTGCCAGGAGAATCTGGGCGCTGTCCTTGTTACACATTCCTGGGCCCAAGACCTCTGCTCCCCTTGTTCCTTGGTCTCAGTGAAGAGGCCGATGCTCTGCCCACCTCCTGCCTTCTGTCAGTGGGCATCATGTACTCACGGGGGTCCTTGTATGAGAGGTTATTCTCTGCTCCTCACCAGAGATGCAATAAAGATGTGGTGGCGATTCTTTCACGGTGGCAGCATGGCGCGAAGCTGGGCATGGGGCATGGGGTGGAGGCACCGCAGACTGCCCTGCTGACTTCATGTTGGAGCCAAAGGGCAAGGTTCAGTTCTGCTGGGTGTGGACTAGATCCTTCTCTGTGTGTCTCTCCTTATGTCCCAGATAGATGCGTTTCTCCCAATTTTGGAGGGTGAACAGCATGGAGAGAAGGGGTGGGCCCTGAGGTTTTGCTCCAGGACCACAGAGGAGTGGCAGCCTGGGGGTGCGGTCAGCAGCTCAGGAAAGACCGGGTGGAGGCCTCAAAGCCAGTTGTATGGTTCACTTGAGATTTAATTCTAGGAGGGGACAAATCCACATCCCTTGTTTGACAGAATCAGTTCACAATATCTCTTGCAAAGACAGGGCACTTTGTAATTATTATTTACTTAATCCTAGAAATAACTCTGTGGGCGGGCCAGTAGGATATCTCTGTTTGTTGAAGGAAAAATAAATCCCCAGATACAGAAGCTGATTGACATTTAAATATTGGTATCTGAATCAGGCAGTTACCTTCCAAGAGCCTGATGCTCTGCTTTTTAGCAAAAGGAAACCCATGAGGGAAGGGTGGGGCCTGAATTGGGGACATTGACATTCTACAAAGTTGGGTTGATTATTTCCCCACATGGCTTTGCATGGACACTAACCTAGTTTTGTATTAAAAAGAGGAAATGACAAATAATAATTTGGATCGTTGTAAGCTCTCCTTGTCTTTTCCAAAAGGCCTACCCCAGAGAAGTTTGTTGTGAGGAGAAAACATTATAATTTCAGGTACATCATCGACCACAGTACAGGTACTCAAGAAATATATATATGCCTTCCTTCCTCTTTCCTTCTTTGGTTTCCAGCCTATCAACCTAGCAAAGGGGGATGATCAAAAGATGAAGCCACCATGTACACTGGGTCTGCCTTCTTACTAGGGAAAAGAGTCGTCTGCCTTTGTGTCCCTATGATTGTTATCCTCCAGTCAATCTCTTCTTCTGCAGTCAACCTCTTCAAGCTCCTTAAAAACAGGAGAGGGGGCCTCTCTGGTGGCACAAGGGGTTAAGCGTCAGTACTATGAAGCTATCTGCAGCCTCTGCAGCACGAGTTTGATCCCTGACCAGGGAGCTACCCACATGGCACAGCAGAACCTCTCCTGTCTCGCCCACTGCTCTCCTCAGCAGTGTATTTCAGTCAATCTGCCTGTTCTGCTCCCCATTCTGTCTCTGGTGAATCCTCTCACCCCCCCACACCTCAGGCCTGTACCCCAGTTCTTGTATGCATAAATGAATCTTAAAAAAAAAAAGCAGGAGAGGGCAGGAAAACGGCACTTGTCTCTACAAATTGGTGTCCTCTCTGTGAGAGTGTGACTGTCACCTCACCTCACCTCACCTCACCTCACCTCACCTCACCTCACCTCACCTCACCTCACCTCACCTCACCTCACCTCACCATGTCACTGTAGGCTGTCACCTCACTGAATTCTTTTTTCCTCCAGGTGGGAGAAGACTGCGCCCTTCTAACAGCACTTGTCATCCCCCCACGCTGCTAACCTGTCTTCAGGTCTGATGTCTTCTGCATATAATTAAACTCTTTTGTTAAAATAGGGACACCTCAGGGACTGAGGATGACTATGGTATCAGAGAAGAGGGCTTCAAATTCCTTCCTGTAACTCCATCTCTACCTGGCTGGAAATACAATGTACAGATTTAGTCCAACCTGATCCTTCAGTGATGGCAGCTAATTGATGGCTGAGAACCAAAAATGGCATCTCACTTGAAATAAATGGGTGGTCATGAGATGAGGCTAACCAGTCTTTCTTCTTTCCTTGTCAGAGGAGAAAGGGCCAGCGGCTCATTTCTGCGCTCAGGTTAGGTGAGAGGCTGTCCACAGCAGCCATACCCTATGCTGCCACTTGATGGCGGTAGAACCTCAGACATCACCCTCTGGCCGCCATGTCTCAAAAGCAAACATGTACAGCTGCTTTCCTGCAGGGGGTGTGAGGCAGAACTGCAGCTTCTCCGTGGGCTTGAGGCAGTAAGTCATATTTTAAAAGCTTGTATGTATGAATTGCTTGTGTGTGCCCTCCCATTATCTCTGAAGAATTTGCTCCCTGTCTCCTGAGCCAGAGTTTTATTGCCTGTGTCTTATTTTTGTGAAATTCTCCAAAGTATTCCCAGCTCATCTGCATGCCATCTGGCATCTGTACAGAGTGGCCTCCTATGCTGTTGTTGTTAATGTCGGCTCGTGTTTGTAGGGTGAGGACATTGGCTTTTGTCAGGGAAGTGTGCCAGAACAAAGTACAGCCCTGTCCTGGAAATGTGCTGGTAAAACCCATGTTCCCCACTAAGCGTCTCTGGGTTTCCTTCCTGCGTTTCTAGACTTGTCGTTACAGCTGAGAACTGAACTGCGCCCAGCTGATCTTTCTGTGCCCACTTCCTTCTGTTGCTGCCAGATTTGCAGTTTTCCACTGCCTCGGCCCCAGTCTGAAATTTGGGAGCATTTCAGAAAGGAGATGGCAGCTTCAGCGTTCATAGCTGTGGAGAAATCGGCCTCCTGCTTGGGGTCATTCTCTGGAATCTCTTCCACCCAGGGCAGACAGTGCTTTGCTGGGCTTGGTGCTGTCACAGTTGTTGGCTGGCAGCATTTGGGTGCCTGACTCCGGCAAGCACCCCCCACATTGCCAGGTCCCTTAGGGTGGAGGCTTCTAGCTCACAGGGCTTCTTTAACTGGTGTCTCACTGCCTTCCTCTGAGAGGAAGGCATTAGTTACTAACATCGGGACTAGATTTCTGTTACTGGGCTTTTTCTAAATCCAATACTTAATTTCAGACACTTTTTTTCCCTCTAAAGAGGGAAAAAAAAATTGGTGTCCTGATCGGGAGAAAATTTTTGCACACAATAGCACCGACTGATCACAAAGATCTACAAAGAGCTCACAAGGCTCAACAAAAACAAAGTAAATGGGCCTCCCCAGTGGCGCAGCGGTTGAGCGCTGGGTTGCGAAGCTGCCCGCAGCCTCTGAGGCGCCGGTTCCATCCCCGGCTGCTCCCCGGCCACCGGAGGAGGGTCCCACATGGCGCGCAGACCTCTCCTGCCGCCCGCTGCTCCCCTCAGCAGTGTGCTTCGGTCCTTCTGCCTGCTCTGCTCCCCGCTCTGGCTCTGGTGAATTCTCTCACCCTCCCGCGCTTCTGACTGTACCCAGTGCATGTATAAATAAATAAATAATCTTAAAAAAAAATTTGCTTAAAAAAATAATAAATTTCTTAAAAAAAACAAAAACAAAGTAAATAACCCAATCAAAAAATGGGCAGAAGAGCTAAAAAAGATACTTCTCCAAAGAGGAAATGCAAATGGCCAACAGGCACATGAAAAAATGTTCAGCATCCCTTGTAATCAGGGAAATGCAAATCAAAACCACACTGAGATACCATCTTACACCAGTAAGAATGGCACATATCAAAAAAAAAAAAAAAAAAGCAACAACATATGTTGGTGAGGATGTGGAGAAAAAGTAACTCTCCTACATTGTTGGTGGGAGTGCAAACTGGTCCAACCACTATGGAAAGCTGTGTGGAGACTCCTCAACCTGCTAAAGATGGAGCTGCCATGTGATCCAGCGATTCCACTCCGAGGGATCTACCCAAAGGACACAAAAACATTGATTCAAAAGAACACCTGTACACCTATGTTTATTGCAGCACTATTTACAATAGGTAAAACCTGGAAACAACCCAAATGCCCCAAAATAGATGACTGGATAAAGAAGATGCGGTACATATATACAATGGAATATTATTAAGCAATCAAAAAAGAGAAACTCATGCCATTCACAGCAATGTGGATGGAGCTAGAAGGGATCATGCTCATTGAAATAAGCCAGAAAGAAAAAGAAAAATATCAGATGGTCTCACTTATAGGAGGAATGTAGAGGACCCAAATCAGGGCTCAGGGAAAAAACATAATTTATAATACAGTAAAAATCAAAATCAACAGGCAACCAGAGACATTCTGCAAGGGGGAGAAGCGTGTAGCATCAAAACAGGAGGGAAGAGCACAAGGGACTATGGTGATGGTACACAGGTGAAAGGGTGGTGGGAATTTCACGGGTACTATACCCAAGATGAAAATGAATACATTGTGAAAAAATGAGGAATGATGTAAGAATTATATAAAATAAATTTTAAAAAATTTTTTAAAAAGGATGTTTGAGTACAAAATAAAATGACCATGCTCACTGCATTTTACGGTCCTCTCATTTTCCTTTGCTTTCCCGGTTGCCTTTCTTTCCATGGTTTCTTCTCTCCCCTCTGTGTATAAGCTGTGGGGGAGTTTTGGGGGAGCCCTGGCTTTGTCTGGGCCACCACAGACCATTCTCCAGACAAAGGCAAAAGAGGCTGTGAAGGGGTTAGGGCGAGACTTCATTTTCCCCAGTCAGCTCTGGTCCATTCGCTTCCAGGATCCCCACATGGCATCAAAGCACTAACCCAGCAACTTAACTCCTGTGTAGGGGGTTCCAGCCCCTGTCAGCCACTGTACTCCCTATGCAGTTTCTAAGGCAGCCCCCACCTCATTTTTTTCAATCGACAATCTTCTGTTATCCAATTCAGGTAACAGTCCAATACCAGTCACCATAGATGCATTAAACACTAAATTCAAGTCCAAAAGCTGCAGTTCTCTTTAGCAAAGAGCCACATGATGATACACAGGCCCATCAGAAAGTGAGGCCCCACTTCACGTCACCGCAAGGAAAGCAGCAGATACTTTTCTCTGTGAACACCAGCTGGAGAGATTCGCCAGGGGCTGTTATCCATGCCTACCCTACCATCTACCACCCCTATAAAAACCAAAGAGGGATTCTTCCATGAGTCAGTCGAATATTATTTCTCTTGCACACTTAAATCACAAAATCATACAAAATTTGAAATGGAGGATAAACTAGTGCAATCACCTGCTTTTTTTTTTTTTTAAAGATTTATTTATTTATTTATACAAGCACTGGGTACAGTCAGAAGCGCGGGAGGGTGAGAGAATTCACCAGAGCCAGAGCGGGGAGCAGAGCAGGCAGAGGGACCGAAGTACACTGCTGAGGGGAGCAGCGGGCGGCAGGGGAGGTCTGCGCTCCATGTGGGACCCTCCTCCAGTGGCCGGGGAGCAGCCAGGGATCGAACCAGCGTTGCAGAGGCTGCGGGCAGCTTCACAACCCAGCGTTCAACCGCTGCGCCACCGGGAAGGCCCCGCAATCACCTGCTTTTAAAGTGTCCATATTTAGATTTGACAGCCCTTTTAACATAAAGAGGAGGATAATAGAATTTCAAATATTTTTTGAAAAGCTGTTAATTCAGGCATTTTTTATGACTTTGGTTAATTTGTCAAATAGTTAGACTTCAGAGCTGCTAATGACTCTAAATTCAATGCCACGTGGGTTGAGTAAGTCAGCGATCTTCGTTCTGGAGAAAGCCACTCCAGGCGTGAAGACCCCACCCGCTTTGGGGTGGTCAGAATCTTCCTCTTGAAGATTTGGGGGCAGCCACTTAGCCAGCCTCTGGTCCTTTCAACGGAGTACCAATTCTAGCATTTGGTTGGTCCTGATCAAGACCGAAGCCTTGGTTATAACCATATGTGACATGACATACAAAGAATGTTCTTGTAAATGATGAGGCATCAGCCTCTTTTTGGGTTGGGCCTTGTTTTGAAAAGTAACCAAAGGAGAAGAGCCACGGGAATTTTACGAGAAGTCGCCTTCCAATGCCAAACCTCACACAGAATAAAAAGAAAAGTTCTGCAAACATCAGCTCAATGACAGAGGCGAGGCCTCCCACAGCCATGGGAGCAGCGCCCAGCACAGGCAGTTACTCTGAAGGCTCCTGTGAGAACCCAGGTCTGCTTCACAACAGGCACATCTGGGCAGGGGAAAGCAGTGGGGGATCCGTCGAGTTTCCTGTAGGGAGAATGTAGCCAGCTTCTTTTAAACACTGGGCCCATGATGGGGACAGGTTTCAGATTTGACTCATTTTTTTTAGTTCCTTCAGATTACTCTGATCTCTGAAACCATAAACTGCTGACTGCCAGGTACTGTGGTGAACACAAAGCCCTCGGCTCCTGAATGTGCTCAGGAGCCATCCCAGCCATCAGTGTCCTTCAGTCTACTTCTGGTCTCTCGTTCCCCCAGATCTACCGGGATGGAGTCAGAGACACAGCCCCCTGGGCTGTGGATGCCCCTTTCAGCAGCTTTCTCGTGATACTTGCAACACATTCACTCCAGAAATGGAGGTTCTCCACAACACGTCCATGCAGCCAGTTCCATGTTTTTCCTACAGGTCCTGTTGTTATAGAGCAACCCCGATATTGAACGGGTTCCTGGCTGTGGGTCCTCACCCGCACACTTTAAAGCGCGGGTGAAAAGTTCTGCAAACACACAAAAGGGTTAATAAAAGGTTTATTTACAAGAGAAAAAGAAATAAGGAAAATGTACAACTCAGGGAGAAAATAGGGAAATAAAGTCTTTAATGCGTCCTACCCGATCCGACGACCTGGAAACCCAAAGTCACTCTCAGAGCTGGCCGGACGCTGCGAGCTGGCCGAGAGCCAAAAATGGGGCATCCCCAAAGCCCACGTGTCTGCCTTTTGTATCCACCTGGCTGCTTAACCCCACCCTCAGGTCCCAGCCACCTTCCCTTTGGTGGTGATGGGATTTGGAGTTCCCAGTGTCTTTGGCTTTGACCTGGGGTGGGGGTGGAGTCCACAAAGCCTATATGGAATTTGCTTTGGGACATCCTTTTCCCCCTAACACTGTAACCAGGAGACCGGAGTTCAGGCCACCTGTCACCACCCAATGCCAATAAATTAGAGTCAGGAATTGAATCTTTAAGATGCGCTTTAATCAGACAGCTGGCAATCTGGAAGACGGGCAGTTAACATCCTAAAGAAAACACCTTAACATTTCATTTCCAGCTGCCTTTTTATTGTGAGCCGAACGAAGACAGTTCAGCAGTGAGCAGGCCTTCCCTGCAGGCAGGAGCTCGTGATGTACTGCCCTGGAGGTCCTTATCGCCCTCCTGGACACCTGGCCTCATGCTGGTACCCCTCTGCTGAGGCAGGTCTGTGGATAGCACTGCTTCCTGCACTCCTGCAGACTGTGATTGGGCTGGAAAATCAACTCAGAGAAGACAGACCATAAACAATGTATGCAGATTTCCTCCTCCACCATGTGCCATGTCTTACCTGATTTCCCCCGCCCTCGCTCCTATCAGTTCTCCTTAGACTCAAGAGGGTCCTGCACAGTTGAGTGCAGCTGCTGCCCATGTAGGCACGTCACCAGGCAAGGCTGGGCTCCTGAGATCACAGATTAGCCTGCCAATCTCAGATGACAGTGTGGCTCTGCCTGGCACTTGCTCAGCATCTCCCTGGAACAGTAGGTGGGTCTGCAGTCTGGAGCCACCTCCTCGGGCACCAACCTGTGAAGCCAGGGGAAGCCCACAGGCAGCAGAGTCCTGGGGGTGGGTGGAGTCCACGGAGGGGCTAGAGCGTGACTGCCCAGGTGTCTTCTCATCTGCAGCCCAAACGCTTCCAAACCTCAGTGGACGTGGAAATGGCCCTCGTTGCTTGGAGGTGCCTCACCTCTTAGCCAGTGCTGGATTGGAGGTCGGCATCCAGCCCCTGGTTGTGGATCCCAGTTCTGCAATGCCTTCCTTGGGAATGGAAGGGTCCATGTATGCAGGGGATATGCTAATACGTATAGCGTCACTTCTCTGTGGATGTGGTGAATGCAGACCCCTTGCAAAGGTACCTGAACTTTATAAAACCAGGTGCTCCGCTGGCTTCAGATACATGCAGTCGATGCCTGACAAATTGCTCGATTTAGTTCTTTACACAAAAGCTACCATTTTTCAAGTACAAAAAACCAGTCCATGTTGTTCTCTAGTGATTAATGGCTAAGAAAGAACCTGTGATTTTTACTGCTCAGCAGAATCACAAAGATTTGTGGGCTCCCTGGAGCAGCTGGGTTCAGCCTTCTGGGTCATGAGCCGGGATCTCTCTGAA